TGTCTTTTTAATTATATTTTTTTCTTTAGGTTATACTTCTGGAAGTATAACATAGGTTATATTCCTGGGTGTCTTCAGTGGGAAATTGCTCGATGTCATTGGAATTCTTTGGAAAAGAAATACAAGTAAGGTTTCAATAATAAACGTATTTTCACTTCGATACTGGATTCAGGGTCATTCCCACCATTTCCTGGAACTGCTTCGGGCGTGCTACCAACCACTGTATTATGTTACATTATGATGCTGGACGGATCGAATGACGTATCTCCAAATAACGGTCGAATGTTCCTATTTCATTCTGGCTTATTGTTTCTTACTCTCGCTAAGCAGAGAGTGGGATAAAAATAGAACGACAGCCGATTCCAAGAACATCTACCCCTCTGATGGACGTGACAGCGTTCCTATAACTGGATCTGTATCGAGATATTATTTTACTATGTTTTGAGGCAGGAAAATTAGTGATTCCGATTCAAAAACAATTTTAAATATTTTTATTGTGTTTGTAAATAACTGATAAAGTATTGAAACCTTCGGGTTAACGAGTCATTCTCCAAGCACCTGCATTTACTTACCTCCCTTGTTAGTAGTCGCGACCTAGTCTCAAGCATGTATACTATCGAGGCACTATTGTATTAAGTAATCGTAAAGGTCTTTCGAGTAATTATGTACATATATGGTGGAAGTGTCGATACCAGAGTAGTAAAAGTGTCAATGGATAGATAAAGTTTAATGTGCAATATAGTAGAGATGTAGGTTACTTAATTTCGTACCATAGCATACGATTTGAATATTTACATACTATATTTATTACGTTTTATTACGTTCGCATGTGTTTTACCATTGCACTCGTGTTTTATATCAGAGAAAAATTTTAATTAAAGGTAATTCTTTTTGTTTGCTTTTATTTGCCTTTGAAGGTTGTTACAGAGATCGTTAGAAACAACGTTAATTTTTGCGAGTAAATAAAACATAACCTATAATATCAACTTTTCTTAAGGAAATAGTATTGCTATTTGCTTTAACAAGATATACTACTACAATTAGGCCTCTCGTGTAAAACCATCACAAAGTTTCAAAACTTTTTATCATCGATAAATTTTTACAATAAAAGTATTCCAAAAGGAGACAAAGGCAAAAGTTTGAAGCGACGGAACTGATTACTCCCAACGATTATTCACACCCTCCAACTTCTGGAGTCGCTTCGACCCATCCAGTCTATCCCCCACAAACTTTACAATGTCGTTTCAGATACAATCGTCCTATCATTTCAAGCAGCGTCCTATCTCAAGACAATACCAATGTTATTACGACACCATTGCATACAGCATACGCGAAAATGCATTAATCCTTTATGAATGTTTAATTGTTAATATACACGTTATTCTAACTTCAAACGTAATAATGTATTTCCACAAAATAAAATACAATTATAAACTATCTTGAGAATTCAAATTATTGTCATATAGTAATCATTTACGGTACTAATGCTCACTTTAACTTTAAGGTTGCATGTGTACTTTGCATGTTCGATGAGGAGGTTAGGTTAGGTCTCACAAGGAGACTGCAAAGCCTTGAGGTCACTGATTTAGTTCAAATTCTGCAGAATTGTAGATTTAGTTCCCCTGATGGTGAAGGTATATGAAGGTATACTACTCAATAATTTTTAAGATATTTGCAATTGAAGATTCATCATTGGTTTAATTTAGTTTAGAATGCACGCATTATACAAAGTCTCCCTTTTATTTATTCCACTATGAAATTTAAGATACAACTAAGAATAAAAGTATTTTGCTGAGTATTAATTACCCTATAACCACAAATAAGTTTTCTGAAACGCAGTTAAGCAGAGAATAGATATTACAATGTCAGGTCTGATAGATTTTCAGAAATGAACCTGTACCTTGGAACAAGTGTACCTATGGGTTCACAGATGGAACAAATATCAACTTTTAATGCATTCATTCAGCTAAAGTACTTTTGAAGAGATTTTTGCTCCCCTGGTTGTATAGATTTTTATTTTTAGACATTTTATGACTATTCATGATATCGTGTGACTGAATAAGTGACTATCACCTGACATAGGAAGCTACTAGCGCCGAAGGATGAACAAGTCACGCAGTATAATTATCCAAACAATTGAATAGCAATCGAATTCGTTCAAGTAACACGCTCGCGTCTAATTTCCATGCGGAAACGCGTCGAAACTGCTTTTACGGTTATTGCGTCGGGCCTGGGTATTTTCGAAGGATATTACCGCTTTTAAACGACGCGTACGTGTTACGACGTTACGTGCAACCATGCAGTTTCCGGATTCTCGAACGTTCCATCCGCCTCCGATATCCCTGCGCTCGAATCCGAGCCAACGTTGCCGATTAAAATTCGACCAGGCGTTTTTCTGTCATTTCGCGACGAAGAAAATTTATCGACACCAACAAAAAACATCTCGCAACGAACTTCTCATTATGGCGTTCGAGAAAAGATGGCAACACAGTGTGTTTAAATCCTCACGGCTGACTGAATCCGCTGACACTCCCTCGATCACAGACAGTGATCGCTATTGGCCAAAAACGGTGACGAAGATCATCGGTAGGCTGTAGCAAGACTGAGTGAGATAGAATATGGCAGCCATTAGCGTTAGTTCTCTGTTTTTCTTCATAGCTTTCAAAAACAACGCCATTCTGCCATATCTGTATCTCACTCAATCTCGCTACCAGTCTGTCGATGGTTCTTTGTTGCCATCTTTCGGCCAATAGCGGTCACTGCCTGTGATCGAGGGTCTGTCAGGGGAATCAATCAGCTACGAGGACGCAAACTGCTATATCTCTTCTCCAGATAGCACTTTACCGCACAAATAACGCAAAATTCAAATTTTGCGTGAATTTTGGGAGAATTATTAATTATTGCTTTATATTACATTTACCAGAGATACGGACAGACCATAGGTGGTACTAGTGAGTTAAACGGAAAATTGTATTACGGCTGTCTTGAAACGCCTAAATACCCGCGAAAGTGTTGCTGAAAATATACAGTTGTTTTTGATGAAGTTAGCATCGATTTTTATTCATATAGGATTTTAATTACGTATACCTATTTATTTTCATTTATGTTCTAATTACCATAATTTATTTGTATTTTCTTTCGATACACACCACAGGTTGATAGTTCTAAAGCATGAAATTTTGGGACACCGTATATTAGGTGTATACTTTTGTTAGTCAGGGTGTACTATTTTATGTTATCTCTTTTGTATTATTTTATATTAACTAGTTATTAAAAGTACACGAAGCATAGGGGAAGGTAAGCTTCTTGCTTTCAAGAAGGGACGGTAGTGTAATCTAGGGAAAATTCGCCCACAGATTCCCTAGCTCACGTTCTAGCTGAAACCCAGTGTTTCTTTTGGTAAAGAGAGTTTAACTGCTTTAAGTAGCGTACACGACGTATCCTTTATGAGCGAGTCGTGGTGCTTGGAATTGCAAAAACCGTCAAACGCTTGGCCCGTGTACACTCGCCGTTGATAACTAGATTTGTTTGCAATTTAAATATCCGCCGGTGTAGCCGAGATTTCGCGCGATATATCCGTATTTACTCGTATTTCCACGTGAAAAGCAATTCACCGTGGTCGACCCGTTTCTTTATCCTTCATCTCGCTCTATATTCATTTTTTCTTTTTCATTTTTTTTTTTTTTTTTTTTTTTTATGCTACATTTGTAACATTTTAGCTGTAGCTTTAACTAAATCTAATTTGTTCGGGATTTAAACTAAATCCTGTCAAAGGGGTAGGAAGAAGCATCCTGGCTCTCGAACGATCTTTTGAACGTTTGAATTCGATATGACCTAAACGAACTTAGAGCGTCTGTTTTCTTTCCAACTTTATTTAAATCCTATTTCCATAATGGGATTTCGCTCTTTCCCCCTCCTATTCCCCCAGCTTTCGTTTCTACTCCGACGCCACTGTGTTTTCATTGAATTCCGAATACCCCTTGATTGATTTATTTTGATCGATTTACATTGTGTCGTTTATGACATCTGTTTTCTAATTCTGTTATCGAATTCTGTTGGTTGTTTTAAAATTCTGAAATCAAATTAATAACTTTTTGTGAAAATTAAATATGCTACCATAATATTCAAATTTTTACAAAAAATAAGAAAAATCTGTAAATTTACGTTATTCGATTTACGGTAATTGAAAATTTAATTAACGTCAAAGCACTTTAATCATCTTCCTTGACTCTTCCTTGCTTCAAACGCAGCAGGTAACCTATCGTGCACCAAACAACACACGCATACAGGCGCGCGCGTGTGCGGTCTTCACATTTTCGCCTAACGTCTTCAAAGAGATCGGAACCGAGCTACATCCATTCGTTCCATGGTTTTCTTCGCTTTATTCACATGTCCAAGGCAAGCACGTCGATGAGAAAGCAGCAGAAATAAAGAATTCGTGCAGTTTGAAGGAACGAAAGAAAGGACGAGCAACGATTTGAACATTCGTGTGCAATTCGATTTCCAACATTTCTCCCTTTTGCCTTGAAATTTCATGTACTTGTCAATATATCCATGTTTCGAATTCACGTATGTGTGTTTGTATTGCACAACGGTATCTTTGCGGTGACGGAACGCCATTTTGAATTATGGAGTATAAGAAATAGATCTGATTGGTTATATCTCGATCACCCCATCGCTAAACAATCGTGAAAAAGGGGGCATCTGTTTCTTCATTGGTCGTTCTGTCATCGCGTGTCACGGTCAGTGTGCTGAGAGGATATTAAGGTGGGGGAATTAGGCGATGCGATCCGGCTACTTTTCTTGTTCTTGCTTGGCTTGGGTTATTCGTGAAGTGGCAGTTGGATTGGAAAAGTCGTATTGGCGGAATTATGACATGATAAAACGTTCTACTTTAACATAATTAGAAAAAGTACATTTTAACGGGTCATGTGCGAAATAAAGTGGTGTGAGTGCAGATCGTAGTTGCGTAATATCGATTATAGATTCTATATTTCGACGATGAATTCTGACATTTAGTTGACATAGCATTGAAAAAGCAGTTTTTTTATAGTTCTATCAATTTTCTTCGATTTCGACAGTCCATATACCAAACGAAGTGATAGGGGTGCAAATTGCACAAAAATACTGCGCAGTTACAATAAATGCGCAATATCAATTATATATTCTAGATTTCGATTGTGGATCAGAAAATTTTGTTATTTTATTTTCGAAAAGGCACTTTTTTAATTTTTTTCAATTTTGAAAATTGAGACTGTCCATTTTTTTCGATTTTGTTGGTTAATTGCGAAATATAGGGCAAGAAGTGCAAGTGGGCGTTTAACTGTCCCGCGTAGTTACCTTTTATCTCTTATATATTCTAAATTTCGATAGTGGATTATGATTTTTCCACCTATTAGCTTAGAATAAACTCTTTTCTAAATAATCTGTCAATTTTTTTCGATTTTGATTGTTCAGTTGTGAAATATAAGTGCAAGTGGATGTTCGAACGTGCTGCGTCGCTAGACATTATGGACTTATATATTCAAAATTTCCTATATGAATTAGGATTTTTTGGTTTATTACCGTCGAATAGGCTGTTATTTAATTAGTGCACCGATTTTGTTTCGATTTCGACGATTCAATGGCAGAATTAATTAGTGTGAGTGCATATTCAGATACTGCGTTGTTGCCTAATATGAGTTCAATCCGAATGCAATAATTTGATCATTTTGGTCGACGGGTTTAGTTCATTTCTGAGTGTAGAATATATTCTCCCTATCTTTAATTATCTAAATGTATATATCGTTATATATTAATTGAATCCAATGTCGTGTTAAGACCAGTATTAATGTTAATCGCCTATGAAATAGTAATGTATTAAAATTGTAATAGAAAAAATTCATCAGGCTAATATCTCAATTTTAAATAAATATTTAGAAGAGTCTCTCGTCTCTAATCTCCCAATGATTCCCAGATATACATACATATTTTCAGTTTATAAAGATATTGCTTTTATTTCCTTAATAATTTCACCTGCACGGTGTTTTATTATTTGTTCAATTATAAGCATAACAAATTAGCAAGAACTCGAAAAAACCCGTAGCTTTGTCTTCAATGTTTTAATCTTCCAAAAATACCGATCGAAGTATCTTCACTCTGCATAGTCATCTTGTAACATTTTCTGGTATGAAACGTTCGCCTCAGCATCCGATACCAACGAGATAACTATTTCCTCAAACACAGACTTTTATTATTCGTCTTATCCCTTTAATTACGCAGGAAATGAAATTCCCAGAGTTGAAAAGAAGAAGAAGTACACAAAGAGGACAGAGAATTAAACGAAGATCGAGGTTCGCTATTTATACAAAGCTGGTGCGCCAGTGTGTTACTAATAAAGGATATTAGTTTGACGGGTGATAGAGTGGGGATGCGAGGAAGAGGCCATGTTGAAGTCTAGAGGTTAATCTACTCGAAGACGCACGCCCGTCGGGTACCAGAGCTTCTGAGATATTACCGGAAATTCGGCCATTCGACGGATGTTATTCGCGCGCCAGCATCATATCATGGGAATATAATTTTTATGGTAAAAGCATCTATAAAAATCCACCACATATCCAGCTACTACATAAATTATAGTCTTTGACAGCTAACAAATATTTCACCGACAAGATTATCGACCATTGTGGTCGATATTTCAAATTTTTATCGACATTTCGAGGTGGACGTCGCGATAAACAGGTGATATTGCATTTATTAATTGCAATATATCCGTGATTGATGTATTAATATTCGTGTTATTAATGTTGGAATTCTTTTTCAGTCTTTTTACCGGAAATGTCAACTGACTCGAGCGTTTCGTATTTCCTTTTCGTTTATGAGAAATTTCCCTCGGGCTCGTCCCGTTTTTAATACGTCAAAGCGACAATTTATTGTAGCACTGTGTACTATGTTGCGGTAATACGTCTTCGATAATTCAGTTTATTCGATGCTGTTTTCGCACCTGTCGACTTTCAAATTACACAGACAAAAACCAATTTACTTTAAAATCTGATTAAAAACCCGAAATGCAACACAGACGCGCCATGTGAGTATCGATTTCAGCAGAGTTAAAAGCTTGGCTGAAGGATCTGGAAATGAGAAATCCCTGATTAAAAGATAATGTGTTTTTAATTTGTCCACAGAAAATACACTGTCGTATTTTGTTACCTCTTATTGTAAATTATGTATCTATGAATAATATTTTCATTAAATTATTTGAATCTACATGGTTCCAAATTCTTTATTTAATTTCCCCCAAATTCCGAAAGACCAAAATCATCGTAACCTAAAAATAATTTTCTTCCTCGTATTAAAAAAAATCTTCTGGTATTATAGGTATTTCAAAAAGTAGACATTTACAATACATATCATTTGACAATATTAAAATTTCTGCAGGAATTTTTTCTCAAAGGAATATCAAAAAATTTTTATGACGAAGTAGTTTGTCAAGAGATACGCGAGTTGTTTGTAGGCTGAGGCGTGAAACGGAAACGTAATATCTGTTATTAATTCCCCAATTAACATCTCTTAACGGGTTCCCTTATTTTGCAAGCCGTTCCGCGTGTCGTTGCACGATGTACCATGTTCTTCATTACGATACACGCAAATATCGGCCATGCTGTACCCTGCACGAGACCACGCGCGTCTGATACAATAAATCGTGCTAGATTTTCTCAACCACAAAACAGCGAAACCCCATTTAACCGCCGTTGTATCGTATATTATCCTTAATTGTAAGTCGGGACGCGTTAAATAATCGCAGTGTTGATCGTAACGCGACGATCTTTATACTACATGTTCCATAACCAAACTATAAACCGAACATCCTCTGTATTTTCATGACACACAGCCAGAAACCTCTGGCGTCCACTTACCGTATTTCAATCTGGCCGCTTAGAAAATTAAAAATGAACTGTCGCGACATCTGTATTGAATTATAGGTACTGTGTAATATATAAATTTATTTAACTTTGGAATGAATTTTTTAAAAACAATACCAATTTTCAAAACCTATTAAAGGCATATAATATCCAATATAATAATATCTTAATACATTGTAGTTTAATATATTACCTTTTGAATTAAAGCCGCGCATGAAATATCAGAAAAAAAGTGTTTATGAAAGGAAGGAAATGTAAAAATCTGACGATTAAACATGTAATGAATAATGATATAATGAATCCTGATGAAGTTCAATTCTGCTTTATGAATTGTCGATTAATAAAGCAATTTCATTAACTTGGCTCAAATTTTGTAGGTTGGTAGAGCATAGATAGAGTAAACAAGGTTGATCAATTAAGAGTGCCAGTTGATAGCCTTCGTCCACTCTGTTCACATTTTAGGAATTGGTTAAGTTCTCCATCTATCTGATACGAAATCAGAATAACGAATGAGCTGCGATTCCATCGTCTTACATATACAGCGACAGCCATCTTCGCGAAGTCACGCTAAAATTCACGATCATTGCTGATACCGTTGCTGCAATGCATAACATGACTTTTCTTTTATACAAGTTGCTACAGATTGATTAGTTTTCATTTTTACTATCGCTTATTATAATTCTGATAGATAATTTTTTAAAGGTATACAGAGTTAAATATAATTCACTATAATTTATTTCTTTACAGTTTATTTTATCGAATTTATAGGAAATGGCTACAGAAATAGTGAAACTAAACAAATGTCATTAGTGTTCTTGGTTACATGCACTTCAATGTAAAAGGTTTGATAGATTGCGACATTTTTTTTATTTTTGCGAATTATCTTTATCTTCTTTATCTAGGAAATCCCGAAAAGCTTAAACGAACACTGCATACAGGTTAAGGAAATTTCTTCGTCGTTGGAAGTTCGTTACAGGATCGGAAACGATGTCGACTGACGATTCTTTTGATCCAGCTTCCTCAGCAGAAACGAAGCGTTGGAAAAGGGATAATTAACTTCTTTTCTGAACTCGTTAATACAATTTTAATTAAGCGTTAATTTTCCTAACCTAAGAATATTCAAATTTTTAGTCACGCTTAGCTGCTCTTCGTCGAAGACATGGCAGAAAATTTGTAGCTTTCCATCGCGTTCGTTAAAATTTTGAAGTCTTCAGATTCTTGCGAGAAGCTTGTGTCTGAAGAAGTATAAGTAGTTTCTCTGTAGTGTTATCGAGTGTTCGCCCGTTGCATCCGTCCTCGAGGAAGGCTGAGAGGGATGAAAAATGTCGTACGTCGGTGTAAAATCAAGAAAGGCCGTGGTATCCGGCAATTTGCGGACGAGCATCGCAGAGAAGCTCTTCCCTTTCAGACGTTCCGCATGAACTCACCTCTGAACCGGCCGTTTTGCAAAGACGCTCGATAAATTTTCAATGACATCAGCGCAAAAACGTCGCTTCTATTGTCTGAAAATCAGGTCGCGACGGCTGCATCCACAGGCCAGACTAGGGAACGAGGCGTGTCACGATGTATATGCTTTTTAAATTCGTTAGCTCTCAGACACGATACTTTTTTTGAAGATCGAATAACAAAGAAGTTTGACAGTTTCAGTATACATATTATTTGGAAACTTTGTAACAGAATACGGGTAAAATAAAAGTATTTCTGTTCTTAGCAAGTTCATCAGACATGCTCCCTTCAATTTTTCAGCGAAACTGACGTGTTGTTTTTGAACCATTTTGGACGATTTATTTTTATTCTGAAACGTGATTGACGGTTAAAAATAAAAAATATTTTGACACGTATTTCCAATGGATTTGTAAAAAAGCGATGTACTGAAAGTTATTGGAACGTAATGAAAAATTAATTTGTTTTTTTCCAGGAACTATGTATAACGTTTCCGTTGCATACACATTTTCCTACAAACAGAAGTTAAAGCGTTAAACTTGTTAAGCCGACTAATCTTTAAAAATCCATATTCATTGTGCGTCCTCATCTATATGTATGACTGTAACCGTATTTACAGTAATTTCATGGTTTAGCTGAAAACGTGACTAAAGATAACATTAGCATTTTTCTGTTGAAGATTCTTGTTTGATTATTCAATGACGTGATCATATTAAATATTTAGATTCTTAATACGTATCCTAGATATTTTAACTCAATTTCCTAATTAAATAAAGGTTCTTTACATATTAATATGGAAAGTTATAATCTACATTTGCAAGTACACAAAGAAGAGTATAATAAAAGCAAGTGGGCAAGAGATATATTAATTAATTATACAAGTATTGAAAGAATAAAAATAACTGTTTGGTTTTATTTTTTGACAAAGCTAATGCTACTTTTTATTGAGATAGGAACGCCAATTAAGTATACTTCATATATCATATTTGTTATATTAACTTTAGTTATCACTATCTACATATACTATGTCAAGATACAAACTATAGATTTATAGTTCTAATGTTAATATAAATCAATAAAAAAGACAATAAATACAGCAAGGTTTTCACGTCAAGAATTTTGAGAAAACCACATTCGTATTGACTTTTCTCGTAGAATAATGCGAGATTAGACAGACGTAGCCAGAATTCCATAAAAATGAAGATCTTCACGACGTTTCTTTTACGCATTACAGTCGATTGGCCGGAAATTTAAGCCTCTATGATTTCCTTTTCATCCATGGTAAACTTCCAATAGAACAGGTTGCTCCCATCTGGTGAAACGCATCATTGCATTTTCGTATCCATGAGATGCTAGAATAAAATTTTACTGCATGACTAGATTCTAATGAGCTTTTCTACAACTATATTTGCATTTCCGATTTTTTTCCGAATTATTATATCGAAAATATAAAGCTATATTTTACAGAAAAATTTATTTAATACAATAAATACGAGATATGATAATTCCAGATGAACCAGTAGTATTTTTTAGTTTCATATTTAGTTTCATATTTTTTCCGCCGCAACTATCCAAATACCATTCATAACAAAGCGGACAATCGCAGGCAATATATTTATCACGGCAAAATCCACAGTGACTATGTTGAAAGAACGGACAAGAATTTCTCACTCTCGACGCCTGTGAATTTTTATAGCCACATAGAATGACATCTCCCGTTCGATCCACTGTCACTCTTTTCTTCGCGTTTACAACACGAAGCACGTTTTTAATCGCTCACCAGGGCCATTGTCGAATTTCGACGTGTTTTATGACCTCTCTTTGTTCTTCTTTTTCCTCGGCGTTCCACTTTCTGCGAGACGAGCATTAAAAGAAATCGAAGATCCAGCCTCTATGATTGTTTCGACAAAGTAAAAATGGAGATATGTACAGGATGCCTGGAATGAAAATTGTAATAAAAAGTATCCGATCAACTATCACAAATGTACAGCGTGAATATACAGTATGTGCAATTAATCAATGATGATATGTTATATTAACACTGCAGGTATAGTTAATTAAACGACAATTTAAGATATATAGGTTAGGATACAGAATCGTACCCAATTATTTTTCTTTTCCATATTAAAACTGCTTGCACTTATCCATTTAATTATATCTTCCTTTGTTCTCGCTTTACTCAACACGATGTAATCCTTAATACCTTTTCCACGTCGCTAAAACGATCCTTGGTAAGCTTAGTAAATAAAACACTGGACGAAGTTTGTCGTTGATTAATGTCGATGCTTTAAAACATTGAAATAGTAATGGCCACATTTTCTGTCCCTTCTTTTCTTTTAGTTTTCCTTTTTTCAATTAGGTGACAAAGATTGGAACAAAATTTCAATTGTTTATTAATATATACATAGAAACTAGCGATCAAAGGAAGACTTCACATTTCTTGGAAATCCTAACCTAACACCTCTCTCTCTCACAAATATCGCTTCCGATCTGGACTTTAATAACTCTGTGTCTCAGGCTCCAGCTTATTAGGATAACCTTACCCGATGAATCTACCAGAAGGGGCCTCGGACGAATCGCGTCTTCTTTTCTTACACCCCTCTTCTCTTTTTTCCTCTTTTCTTTTTTAATGCCCCA